GTTCATGTTCCCGTAGTTCTACAGAACGGAGAACTCAAAAAACATGAGGTCCCGTTCTGCAGAACACGGGAACTTGAAGATTATTCAAGTTCCCGTGTACTACAACACGGGAGATTAAAGTTTTAATATTTTTTTATTTTTTTTTAATATTTTTTTTTTAAATATCGAATTTTCTAATTATTTAAGGAACATGATAACACATATTCGGATTATTGCACTCGTTTGTACATTCATCGTCAAATTTTTCGTCAAAATCACCCTACCAAATTATAAAAATTAATAATATAAGGGTCCATTTGGATGGAGGGATTTGGGGAGGGATTTGATTTGGGGAATGGATTTGAAATGACTCCAATTTTGGAGTCATTTGAAATCCATCACTATTGCTCCAAAATCAACTAAAAAGGAGGGGTGGGGATTTGAAATCCATCTCCAAATCCCTCAATCCAAACAAGTCCGAGGGATTTGTTATTATGGATTTGAAATCCCTCCCCCAAATCCCTCCATCCAAATGCACCCTAAAGGAATATGAAAATTAATAATACAAAAAAAAAAAAAAAAAAAATTGAAACCCAAGTTCTCGTGCTGTACAGCACGGGTAACTCAATCTTTTCCCCTTTTTTGAAACTTCTCGTGCTGTATAGCACGATTAAACAGACTTTTAATTTTTTTTTTTCTTTCTTTTTACCATTTAAAAGTTATTCGGACCAGCAATTGAAGAAATCGTTGTTCGTTTTTTAATTTGTCGAACGAGCTTCAAATTCTAAGTTTTCGATTTTTTTTAGTTGAGAGCGTTTCGGTTTTTTTCGAAAGTTAGAAAATTGACAAATAAGACTACCGCTGTAAATAAGCCAATTTCAGTAAAAGTCCAGCTACAATTAGCATTTCAGAAAATTTAATAACCCCTATCCGTCTGATTTACTAATGGGGTAGGGATTGCCCGATAAATTTGGGGCGGAGCAGGTACCCAATGAGACTGGTTAAATTGACTTTCCTACCCTCTACATAAAAATAATTCACGCAAAATATATATATTTAGGGCCCCCATTTGTATATTTGTAATTTTCGGTTTACTAAGCTGAAGAAAGCCCAATAAAATATTCACTAATCTTGTTCTAAAATATACGCACGTGTCTTGTTCTAAAATAGTTTGGGCCCATTGATTAATTTTAGTCTTAGGCCCATTAGAAAGTTTTAATTATGGCCGATATATATATCTAGGCCCAGATAATGCCAAAATTTTAGAAATTTCCAGGAGTATTGTTGGAATTTGAATGAATTTTTAGTTTCCGAAAATCTAGAATTGAAACTGTAATTAGAATTGATTTTGTATCTTGGACAAAACTTGTAAATTTTCTGAAAAAAACTAATGTTGATCTGTTTCACGGGAAACTTCAATTTCTCAACGTTTCCAATTTTCGGAAACGTTTGGTGTCGGAAACTCGAAGACACTTGCCGGACACCTTATGGGCGATTTTGGAAATTTCATAAAGTTAGAAACATGTTTAAATAGCAAATTTTCTAATATTTTTGTTGTTTCTCAAATTATTTACAGGATTTAATGATCAGCTGCAAATTAATTCTCAAATAGTTGATAGTAAAATTTATTTTCAATATATTTGTATAAAAATATATAAAAAATAATTTATATATAAATAAGTAAAAGGGTAAATTACAACCACTCCTAAGGTATGGTCAATTTACAAAAAAAACTCCTCTTGTTTGGATAATTACATCTACCCCTTCAATTATGATTTTTTCTTACACCTCCATCCTTGTGGTGTCAAATTCAACATAATCATCTAGATTCCATTGAATGTGCTCTAATTTGTACTCGTTTTGTGTAAAAATACAGTTTCTGATGCACCACAATCTTATATATACAAGCCAAAAAACATATATTATGATCATCTTGTTTCAAAATATATTGAGTTTGAATAGGATAAAACGAGTACAAAAGTGATAATATTTCATATAATCTCGAAAATTCCACTAAATTTGAAACCGCAAGGATGGACGTGTAAGAAGATTTATAATTGAGGGGGGTGGTTATAATTATCCAAACAGGAGGGGATTTTCGTAATTTGACCACACCTCAGGGGGTGGTTGTAGTTTACCCTAATTAAAAACTTATATAGTAGAACCTCCATAAATTAATACTAGATAAATTAATAACTTCGCTGAAATAATAATTTCTTCCGGTCCCGATCGAGTTGGTAAAAATGTATTAAATTACTAATTCGATAATTTAATTAATATTTCGCTAAATTAATAGAATTTTGCTAGTCCGAACTGTATTAATTTACAGAGGTTTAACTGTATATGTTTATATAGTAGATTTATAAATACACCCTTATATTTTTAATATTTACACATTTCCCCTAAGTTTACGTATCCCCATTTTCGAAAAATGCCGTTCCCCGTATCGCCATTTCCGTGTCCATGCTTCTAAAAAAAATTAAAAAAAATCACCCATATGACGTTGTGAGTAGTGACTGATCATGGCCGCATGAAATATAATCTAGGTTTTTGATGTATTAATCAGACAATATAAATTATTACAAATTAAAGCTAAGGTTGAAAAACATTTTCAAGTGTTTACAACTGTTGCAGGTGACGACCCCTATAACAGTAATCATTGTGCAAAAATGCTGATCATATATTCGGAATTTCTATTTTCAGATTACATCATCTTTGCCTTTTCATATATTTAATTATTAAATTACTTTTTGCACCTATTTTTAATATGATATATATATTTATATATATTGGTAAGCTTTTGTAACGCTTTATGAAATTAATGGAAGAAACTCTCTTTTTAATTAATAATATATATAATAATCATTTTTTTTCTTCCACTTGGATATATACTTTAGTGGAAGAAGAAAGAACGCGTATCTTCTTTCAGCACCACTTTATTTTAATGCCATAACTCTTAACTTTTACATTGTATGTAGATTAATTTGAAATATTAAATTATTTTAATTTGATTTTTTCTATAATTAATAATGGCACCCAAACTTTAAATTGGTTTAACTAAAGTCAAATTCGTACAAGATTTTTACACTTTCGGGTAGCCAAAGTTTATTTCCATCAAGGGTTTATTCAGAATATAAATAATTAATTACTTCTTACCAAGGTTGTAAAAATCGGTAATCGGGTCCGACTCGGTCAGGCACCGACTCACGATTAATCGGTGCGGCGGTGATTAATCGGTGATAAATCGGAAATAAATCGGTTTTTAAAATTTAATATAATATATTTGTAGATATTATTTATAAATACACAAACATAGATAAAAAATATTTAAACATAGTTATATCTCCATCATGTATATATTCTAATAACATAATAAAAGTTTAATAATAATAAGATCATAATACATAAATATCCTTATAAAATATAAATAAAAAGGCAATTTTTTTTGAATTTACATACATTCTTGGCATACATCATTAGTTCTTTAACAATAATAATTAACATAAAAAAAATAAAGCATAAAATCCTTTTTTTTTATTTAAATTCCAACTTTTATTTTGATTTAAAAAAAAAAAAAAAAAAAAAAAAAAAACCGATTTTTGACCGATTTTTTGCCGATTTTTTGCACCGAAGTTTGACCCGCCTTAAAGGTTTGACCGCCTCGGACCGCCTCGGACCGCCTCAAACCGCCTCACAGGCAAAAAACCGATTTTTCAAACCTTTACACTAAAATCGTAAAGGTTTTGGACCGCCTCCGCCTAGGCGACCGATTAATCGGCCGCCTCGGCCGATTTTTAGAACACTGCTTCTTACGATAAATATTATGAAAACAATATAAATACCCTTCGTTTCTAATTAATTATCATTTTTCAGCTTTGGACAAGTGTTAAGGATCTCAACAAATGTTTCTTGATTTTAGAAGAAAAAATACAGTACAGTGAGTAAAATAACCTTAATTATTTAGTGATGTAATAAGAGATAGTCAATACTTAGAGTAAATTAATAAATTAAAACAGAAAAAAATGCATTTGATATGAAAATGAAGGACAAGTGTTAAGAATCTCAACAGATGTTTCTTGATTTTAGAAGAAAAAATACAGTAATGACTAAAATAACCTTGATTATTTAGTGATGTAATAAGAAATAGTTAATACTTAGAGTGAATCAATAAATTAAAACAGAAAAAAAAAATGCATTTAATATGAAAATGAAGATAAACATATGAATAAAGAAATGATTAAATTGATTAAAATAAAGGGGAGGAGAGATTCAATTTTAGATTTTATGTTTATTATTAGTGGATGAGTGTTTCCAAGCAACATGACAAAGTATCTTCTAAGAGTGCGTGTGAACCAAATATTTCAAATGTATATAACAAAGTTATGTGGAGAATCGATGCTGCATAATTAATGGTCGGGTGTATATTTATTATATATTATATTATTATATATATTATAGTTAGTGACTTCCATGCAGATTAACCACAATTTTTCTTCTTCTATTATGGTGGACCACTTCACTAATTAATCCACATTTCGCAATTAAATTTGTTCTTTTCTACCTCATGAACAACATGTATTCAAAATTAAATTTTTATAAATTAATACAGTCAGAAGTAGAAGTAACAAAATTATATCGTTCTGGCGAAATATTAAATTATCAAATTAGTATACAAATTCTTAATACAATTAAATAGTCAAATTATACAAGTATGTTCTAGAGTACTTCCAATGACTCGATCGATAACTATATATGTACGTGTTGTCATTCTGCTGGTCAAAAAAAAAATCAATAATCTGATAAATTAACACTCAATTTTATGAAATTGAATTTTGTAAAAATTATTAAGGTGGCAACAAAAACTATTATTGTCTTAAAGTTTCGTGATTAACATTGTCTTTATTTAATTAATGTAGGTAGTGTATTGAGTATGTGCATGTATGTTGGGTGAGCTAGATTTGCATTAATTAAACAATAATTTGTGTTTCCCACTTGCTTCTCTCTCCATAATATTTATTATTTATGTATGTAGTATTAATTATATATCCATGTATTATTAATTTTGTTTGTTGTGAGTGAATTCCCTTTCAATTGATCAAAATTGGAGGCTTTGCTATAAAGTGGTAATAATTAACATCATAGAATTTAGTGTTCATTGGATTTGATTTTATTTTATTTTTAAAAAGTGTTAATTGGATAAATATTGTGAAACTCGTGACTCATATTTGATCCCTTTATGCAACATGTAACATTATTATACCATAATAAAATAATCATTCATGTTGTATCCGATTAGAGAAAACCCTAATTTCATTAAGGGCAAAAAAAAAAATTAATAATAATAATAATAGAAACAGAAGCCCCTATATGTATATATTTGGCCATCTAGAAAGAGCTAATTATTGAGACCTTAAAGAAGGCAATGAAACTTGTAATAGAATCAAGAATGTGAGTTCATTGAATTTAGATAAGACTTAGGTATAATTTGGGAGATATCAAATTAAAGTGACAAAGGGAATTTGTTAAAGTTGTAAAAGAAAAAAGGAATAACTAATGTTGGCCTAATTGCACAAATATTTGTGCTTACACATATACTTTGTTCACTTGATTCCAACCATTATTCTTTATTTCGGATCACAATTTAATTAGAGGCATATTATATATGGTGATGTAAGCATATGATTTTGGTGGATTAATGGATTCCTCGAATCTAGATCTAATAGATGCTATATTCGTCGAAGTACTCTGATTGATGTGTTTGCAAATAAACTTTAATTATCATCTTATTTTTGTTAAATATCTCAAATGTTCGTATAATTAATGTCGAAATTAGATGCACAAATCTCTAATCATGCAGTTTAAGGCCAAAACAAGGTTGTTCTGGATATACTTTTGAGATTATAAGTTAAAAAAATTATATAAGAGAAGTAAAAGCAATATTTGCATTTGTAAATATTAATTAATAGCAAATTGTGAATCCAAAAGGAGAAAAAAAAATCATAATTTTTTTTTGGGCCAAATATACACCACCTAAATCATGTACCTCTCAATATGAAGATAATGGTAGATATTTATAGGTGATGATTATTGAATATTGATTAGATGATTTGTACAAATATGATATTTTTTATTGTTTTTTTCTGGATTAATCGTAGGTCAATTTGAATCAATTGATTTGGACATTCTTAAATTTGGAACAATTAATATGTGAAATAATAATTATGTAACAAATATGGGGTGATATTCTACCTGATGTAGCACTTGCAACACTTTTGAATCCTATATGTAATAAATAAGGATTAGGATGAATTTGTGCTTTCAGAATCAAGACAATCGGTTTGAGAATTGCATACGTATTAGTGGCAGAATGAGCACATAGCCAAGGGGTCATGGCCCCCAATATTTTTCAAATCTCTGTTAATTTATATAAAAATATAAAATTAACGGTCTTCCCTCAAATTTATTTTAATACATTCGTCCTCCTCGAATTTAAAATTTTGGATCTGCTAAGTATATGTATATTATTCATTCATTTAACATTAGAATCATCAAATGATTTAAATATAACTATTTATTATAAAAATCACATCAAATTCTGAAGTGGGAATCTGAATCATGCGTCAGCAAATTGTATGAATAAATCGACAGAATAATTCAAAGTGGACACATATATTGAAGAAGCACTATAACCAAATTAATTAAAAAAGAAATTCTTTTCATTAAATTCTCTTCCACAAATTTTCACCCCAAGTAAAAAGAAAAGTTACAAGCTCCCTAATTTACTCAACCCCCCTCCAAAACCAAACACCAAAAAGCACCCCCCGATACAAAATGACCAAAATGCCATTTACCCTTTCTTTTTCTTTTGCCAATTTTTTATTGTGGCAATTTTATCTATTTTTTATTATTTATTTATAAATTAATTATGGTTTAGGAGCTTCCAAAGCCAGCATGGGAGGCTGTGGCATTGGTCCACTAATTGCTATTGCAGGAACATACATTCTATTTTCCACTGCAATATTATTATTATTATTATTTGCCTCAATATCACCTATATTTAAATTATTATTATTAATATTATTATTATTATTATTATTATTATTATTATTATTATTAATATTCCCAATTTTCACTGGTTCAAGAATCTGCTCTGCTTCCATCTCCTTGTACTCTTTGTATTTGCCCCACAACACTGAGTAGAGTCCAATCACAATCAACACTGCTCCAAGAACCCTAATTTTTCAATTCAAGAAACCGAAAAAAAATTAAAATTAATTAATTAGTCGTCACGAATTTTAGTTTATTCGATTTTTTTAATAATAATACTAAATAAATAGAGAAATATATAATGAATTACCCTCCAACATATATTTTCTCAGCCAAGATGAATGAGCCCATGATCGCCACTATAATCATCATTAACGGGCTGAAGGCAGTCACGAACACCGGCCCACGCTTCTGCATCACTAGTCCTTGCACATAATATGCTATGCTCGATGACACAATTCCGTGCATTATTATTTATTTGAGAGAGAGAGAGAGAGAGAGAGAGAGAGAGAGAGAGAGAGAGAGAGAGAGAGAGAGAGAGAGTTTGATGAGAGAGAGAGAGGGAGAGTTCTTACAGCATAGGCAGCAGCAAGAAGGTTCATGTCAAAACCAATAACCCAAGCATTTGGCTTGTGCTCCATCACAAAAGTGACAGCGATAGATTGAAGTGTTCCCATAAAGCACACAAGTGCTGTTAATGAAAGATGCGCTGTGTATTTCCTCATCGTAATCGCCTGCGTAAATAAAATCAAAAAAATCAAAAATTAAATAAACAAAAAAATAATAATAATTTTCTTGAAAACAAATGGGGTATATATGTAAGTACCTGAAGGATGAAGAAGGAAGCCCAGGCGAGAGTGGCAATGATGAGGAGAATAGAGCCCTTGAGCCAATCCTTGTCGGCAGATGAGTCAGCATGATTAGAAGTTGTCGGAACATAGGATTGCTTAGGATGGATAAAACTTGACCAAAACATGTTTATCACGTGACCTCTGTATACTGTCATCAGCATCGCTCCTCCCACTGTTACTATTGTTCCCGCCACCTTTGCTTGACACATCACCTTCTTCATATTCAACTTCTCCATCCTATATTTTAAACCCCAATCAAAATCAAATCATTTCTTTTTTTTCTAATTTTTTTGTATGTATATATATATAGAGATATAGATATAGATGTAGATATATACCTGCAGAGAACTGCCATTACAAAAGTCATGGCAGGTAGCATGTTGCTCATGGCACATGAAAAAGTCGGGGAAGTGAATTTCAGACCGGCGTAGTAGAAATTCTGATCGATCACCGGCCTGTCGATTTATTCAACGAAATTTCAAATATTAATTATTTTTTATAAATACAAAAAAGAAGGAAAAAAAAAACAGGAATCTTGAGATAGTACTAATTACCCGAGAAGTCCTAAAACGAAGAGCTGCATGAAAATTTTGAACGTAATCTTCGGCCTAACTTTCCTGCGTGACGATAAATCGAGAAAATAAATTTAAGAAAAATGGATGATTTTGGTGGAATAAAAGATTAAAGTAAATAAATATAAAGTATGTACCTTTCGAGGAGAATAGCGAAGGGAGCAATGACGGCGGTGGCGAAAGCGTGTCGGTAGACGACGAGAACGTAGTGGCTCATACCTCGGTTGAGCGAAACTTTTGTGATAATATTCATCCCGGCGTAACCGAATTGCAGCGAAATCATTGCTATGTAGGGTTTTGCACTCTCAAACCAATTCCCTATCTTTCCTTTTCCTTCCATTGTTTTTTTCTCTTTGAGAATGGCTGTAGAGAGAGAAAGATAGAGAGAGAGAGAGAGAGAGGATAACACTTGAAGAAGAAGAAGAAGAGATTTGTGTTTGTCCTAAGGAAAAATGAAGATTGAAACTAAGGTATTTATAAGCACTATGGTGGGGGTATTTTGGGTATTTAGGGTTCCTATTGATATCAGGTGCATCTAATTGAATATTCTGATTTTTGCTTGTGCATATATCCATAGACGGGTGATGTGAGCTCCACGTGGCGTCATCTGGGATAATCAAAACCTGGGTGGATTCCATTTTTTTTTTTTTTTATTTCATTTTTTCCCTTTTTTTCTTCCTTGGTGGTATAGTGGCCAAGTTATCGATTTGATGTGAGTTTTAGTGCTGGCTGATGCCATTAGGGAGTTGGGGGGCGGGGGGTG